TCCCAATTTTCAGGACTCCGAAGTCTGTGCCCATCATATTCTACTTCCCCATCCCCTCCATTTAGCCACAGGTAGTCTTTACTCCACATTCTATTTCCATGAATTTGCCTTCTCTTTTATATTTCATGAATGAAATCATATAGTGTTTGTGTTTTTGCTTTTGCTTATTTTACTTAGTATAACGAATTCAAGGTTCTTCCATGTTGCGGTATGCATCAGAACCTCATACCTTTTTATAGCTGAATAATACTATATTATATTATATACCACATTTTAATTAATTCACTCATCTGTTGATAGATACTTGGGTTTGTCTCCACTTTTTGTTTGTTGTGAATAATGCTGCTATGAACCTTGGTAAAAAAGTGTATGAGTTCTTATTTTCAATCTTTTGAGTATCTGGAAGTGGAACTTTTGGGTCATGTACTTATTCTACTTTTCTATTTAACTTTTAAAGGAACAGTAACATTTTTCATAATAATGTAACATATATAGATTTTTAATCAGATTGTCAAATTTCACAAAGTACTGTTTGGATTTATTGGTTACTGCATTCAATTTTTAGATCATTTCCAAAGACAGACCTATAGTGAAACTGAATTTTCTAATCCAGTTATGTAGTATGTCTTTCCACTTGTTCAGGACTTTTTTTTTTTTTGGTTTTTTGAGATAGGTCTTATTATGTAGTTGAGACTGACCTGGAACTCACTGTGTAGCCCAGGCTGGTCTTGAACTCACAGTGATCCTCCTGTCTCAGCCTCCCGAGTGTTGGGATGACAGGCGTGTACCACCACACCTGGCATTCAGGACTTTTTTTTATGTCATTCAGTAAAATCTGATAGTTGTCTTCATAGGGGTTGGGTACATCTTTTTATTTCTAATAATTTTTAAAATTTAAATTTCTTCATTATTGCTGATGTTTTAAAATACAGTTGACTTTTAAATATTTTTATTCTGGAAAGATTTCATTTTACTTGGGTTCTTATAAAATATTTTGAGTGGGTATATAATTCTAGGGTGACAGTTATTTTGGTACCAGGGATCGAGCTCAGGTCCATGTGCCGCAAGGCAGGCAGTGGAACCACTGAGCTGCATCCCCAGCTACAGTTACTTTCTTTAAGCACATGAGCTAATATTATTGAGTTTTGTGTTTTTGCTAATGAGAATTCCGTTCCTGGATGGGCTGGGGATGTAGCTCAGTGACTGGCCTGTGCAGGTGTGGGTTTCCTTCCCAGCATGGGGAGGCGAGGTGGAATTCAGGCACCCCTTGCTCTGGTGGTTAGCTTTTCGTAATTGAAACAGGTACTGGGATAATCAATTTATGAGGAGAAAAGGTTTATTTTGGCTCACAGGTTGAAGGTTTCTCTCCGTGATTGATTGGCCCTGCTGATTTGGGCCTGAGGAGAAGAAACAAATCACAGTGGTACTTAACTGCTCACCTTGTGACCAGGAAGTGAGAGACTGGGGTCCCACATCTCCTTTAAGGCTGCTCTGCAGAGACTGGAAACCTCCCACTAGGCCCCACCTCCCACAGTTCCAACCGCCTCTCCTAGTATTGTAGCACCAAACTGGGGAATAACCCTTCCGTATCAGATAGAGCAGTGGCCATTCATTTGATGATCTCTCTTCTCTAGCTGTTTTTAAGGCTCTTTTCTTTCATGTTTACTCTTTAGTTTTACTCTGATGTGACTAGGTATGGGTTATTTTTTTATCCCACAGAATCAGCATTGTCAGAATTGGTGACTTTCAACCATTTTACAAAATTCTCAGCTTTCATTACTTAAGATGTTACCTCTTTCCCATTCTAATTTGGCCTAATGTAGTTCTTATTAGACTTAGTTCTTTCTTTCTCCATGCCTCTTTGCTTCTTTTTAAAATAAATTTCATCTTTCTGACCTGTGTTTCTGATGGATCAGTTCACTTATTCTCTTTACAGGAAGACCTTGGCAGGAGTGGTTTCAGGAGAATAATAGGTTCAGAAGGTGGACTGGACTGGCTTGATGAGAGATTGAGAGGTGATGCGATGGAGACTTCTGCTATAGTTTAGCTCAGTGTGGCTTTTTCATTTTTATGAAAGGAGAAGAAAAGTGGAAGGAAGTCAAGGGAAGCTGGAGGAAAGGAGTCAGGGAAAGCGTGATGATGATGTAGAAAAGAAGGGATAGTGTAGGAGTGAAGTCTGAGAAAGTGCAGAGGATTAAGGCCCAACCTTTTTAGTTGTGTCCTTCATTTGTGTTCTTATATTACCCTTGTGAAAGATTAGTGAAAGCTATCAGAGACCTCTGCAGTAGTTCTGATCTCCTGTTCAGTGCTATGGCACAAGACTGATAAAAAAACTTAAAAAGAACTAAAAGAGACACTAACAAACTAAAGACAGAGAAACCAGGGAGCTAGGACGACCAGTGTTGCTTAATCAGCAAAGGCACTGTGTTTTGTTTTGTTTTTTTGTAATCGATTGGGGTAAAAGGCAAGGTATGTGCAAGGGTGGGACTATGTGTGAGGATGTGCAGTCATGCAGTTTCTATAGAAACTAATGCAGGCAAGGTTTGTAAAGGAAAAGAAGCGCTCTCGACTTAGGAACAGAATAGACAAAATATACGGTTCTAATTAAATCCTTGTCCTTCTAGTCAAGAAGGTTTTAATTGTGAGAACAGAATTTCAGTGTGAGTTATCCTGACCTCCACACATAGGCTTTGGCCCAACTCACTTCTCAAAACAAGCCAATTGAGGAGTTAACTCTTTATAGCCTGCACTGCTTACAGCCTGCTTTGGGCATAATTGATATTGCAGTTCCCTACAAAAGCAAGTTTAAAAAAAATTATTAAGTTAAAATGACTATTCAGACATTTTAACAGTTTACCTGCTTACCCATTCACTCAATCAACAAATACTCCATTTTCCTTTTATGAGTAAGGTGCTGTGCCAGGCTCTGGGAAATTAACTGTAACAAGTAGACACAATCTCTGCATTGGTGAAGCTTCAAGTGCAGTAGTTTTCATAGTGTGCAAAGATGTGACTGTGTGAAAGCATGAGGGACCTCAGTCCTTTAGCCTATTCTGGGAGATTAGTGAAATACCATTTAAACAGATTCCCAGAAAATGAGTAGTTAGGCATATTCAAAAAGGGAGAGGCAAGTTGAGATTTGGAGTGATGAAAGTGTCAGCGTAATGCAGAACAGTGTTCTGGACTACGAGTGCTGAGAACACTAGGAAACCACTAAAAGAACCCTCCATTTCTGTAGTACTTTCGGGGAAGTGTACACGAAAGGCTGCTGGAGCCTGATGCCATTAAGTCTTGCAATCATAGCAACTCCCATTCTTCACAGTAACTTTTTAACTTATCCATCTAATATGGATACCTCAGTTAGACATGAGTGGAATTTCCTTGACATTAAGAAAAAGTTAGAAAGGATCAAGAAGGAGAGAATGAGAGGAAAGGAAAGGAGAAGACTGTAGGAGAGGAGAGAAGGGGAAGAGAAGGAGAGATCTGGTAGTAAAGATACAGCAATGAAAAAGCTGAATCTACTAAGAATGTTATTTATGCATCGTACAGCTTTAGAATTATTAAACTGCTATTTTATTTTGCTTTTTAAAAATTTTAGTGCCTTAAAGGTGCTATTTTATTTATTTATGGGGGTTTTTTTGGTGTTTTTTTTTTTTTTTTTTTTTTGAGACAGGGTCTCACTATGTAGTTGAGACTGACTTGGAACTCACTATGTAGCCCAGGCTGGTCTCGAACTCACAGCGATCCTCCTGCCTCAGCCTCCTGAGTGCTGGGATTACAGGCGTGCACCACCATGCCCAGCAAAAGTGGTATTTTAAAATTACCTATTTTAAACTATTTTTTTTAGATTATAAGAAATCACAATATTATATAAGGATTTGCCTTGACTCCTAAAGGCTTTTGTTGTTGGAGGGGGTAGGTATAGTCCTGGGGATCAAACTCAGGGCCTTACACATGCTAGCCAGAGGCTCTTTCGCTAAGCTATTTCCCTTTCCCACTAAGTTTTTTTTAATTTAAATAAAATTAGGATTCTATTCTTTCATCATAAATGATGAATATACTCTTTATGTTTTTGGCTTCTTTAGAAATTTTCAAATTCTGAATTATCATTTTGATCTATTCCTTAGATTCTAGACTTAGACACCTAGTACTATGCCTCGCTTATAGTAGTTGCTCAGAAAAATATGTTCAAGCTGGCTGTGGTGGCACACTCCTATGATCCCAGCACTCAGGAGGCTGAGGTAGGAGAATCACCAGGAGTTTGAGGCCAACCTGAGCTATCTATCTAGTGAGTTCAATGTCAGCCTGAACTACATGGAAATACCCTGTCTCAAAAAAAAAAAAAAATCAGTGAACAAAGGTACTGATACAGTACTCTAAATTATATATATTTAAATTTCCTTCCTTAATTCCTTCACCCAAAATGTATTGCCTTTTTTTTTTATGTTCCTTTTCTTCCTGGCCTTGTTTTTTTTT